CCATTGTATAGTATTTAAGCTCAGTCTAAGACCTAGTCTATCATTTCCAGATAATCCAAAATACTCTTTCTAAGTTTATTTAAAAAAGGTAATAAATTATTCAAATTTATATTGAGATTTCCTGCTTTCGTCCCCACCCCTCCCCCAAATGGTAATTTCAGGAAATTTCACCACTATTCACCTTGTTCACCTCCACCTTTCGACACTTCTGGACCTACCCCTGTTATACAATATTATTATATACCGAAATATTGGACTGGTGATGTGATGGTTATTTTGAAGAAAGCAGTAAAAGCACTTATTTTTCTCATTGTTATGCGTTATGCTGTGTTAACTCTTAAAACACTTAAAAGCATTAGTTTTCTGTATCCGTGCAGTTTCTCTGAATGTTGTGATCGAAACCGTGTACACGTAGTCGTTGTTTGTATATGGCAAATCGATGTCGCCTGCGCGGAGTGAATATAGAAACGTCCGAACGGGATGCAGAGATGTTGTTTTTCCGCGGAAGGGATAGCGATGGGGCATTTATCTCATATTGGAATTCCATTGGGCTAGACTACTCGTCTCAAAACGATGTTTGCTTTATTTGTTGAAGTTGAGTTGTTTTGAATATCACGCTCGAAGCGATCATCTTTATTTCATGGCGTTAGAAATTTTTCAGCCGGCGCGCGCACGAGACGGAGGCGAAAATTTAGCCAGCAGATTAATTTCGCTTGTTCGAGTATTTACAAGTGTAGCGACATACGGCAACGATATTTTAAGTGATAATAATCATCGTACTGAATTTCATATAGAACAAAAATTAATGTGTAAAGTCCCGGGGTCATTTATTTGATTATAAAAATAAGGGTCACAAAATATGAAGTATCCTTGAGTAAAATATTGTTTATAAAGATATCGTTGATAAACTCTAAACAAACAGAAAATGTGAAATCACCATTTAAAAGGGCCTAGGGAGTGACAGGGTTTGCAAAATGGTAGATTGTACACTTCTAAATGCTGGATTTATCTTTTATATTCTAAATTCAATAAAGATTGAGATACAACATTTTTAAATTGCGTCAATCCTCAGTTTTGGGTGATTGAGCAGTTATTGATGTGTAAATATAAATATTACAAAGAATAAATTAGCAAACGTATTATATAGCTTCGATATCCGCCATTGTATTACCAAAAATCACATGTATATCATTAATTATTTTTGTCGGAGATAATCATTTTGCTTGAACCTTATACCCAGAATCACGAAATAATGCGAGCATTCTGAGCTATTGGGTTTTGTTTTCTGTAGTACAACAATATTAAAAGAAAAGGGGAAACGAAAAGGCAGATTTCCTGTTCTTGTGCGCAAGATTATCAATAATTGATTTGATATAAAGAAAAGAATCTTGTTTTCTATGTCCCTCTGAGACAGCAAGATTGATTGGGAAATGTATGCGTTTATGCAATGACTCGTCCCTCAAATGTTCTGCCTCGATGCATACATTCGGGTTTAAATATGACATTATCCCACAGTTATGTTCGACGTTGGATATTTTTTGAAGTATTGGATTCACCAAAATATCAGGGGGTTGTCCCAAAGGCGTGATTATTTCATAACGCGTTTTGCTGGTTAGGATGTTTTAGATGGAAAAGAAGGTACGGGATTATAATAAAGCTTGATATGAATGAAGGCGTGTATCATGCACATGGAGAATGGCCGAGACACAATGGGAAGAGAGAGAGAGAGAGAGAAGGCGGGGTGGGATAGCAGGGAGAAATAGAAACGGAAAAAGATTGAGAGAGCGAAAAAATATAGTGAGATGCAGGAAGTCTGAGAGAAAATACACTGACCTAAAAGTGTTGAATAAACTGATAATAGAGAGATAGACAAACAAAGAAAGAAAGACCGTCTTGCACACCGTCATGATCAACCCCTGAACACCATCGTGTGGTGGATGGGATCTCATCATAAATACATGACATAAGGCCAACATGTTAGTGCTCCCTTCCCTATATAGCTGATGCCGAAATGAGATGAAATTGGATGGAGTATTGGGCCGGGGAATTGTGATGAGCTTTTTGCATGCTTCAGCCCATCCCATTCACACCTAGATGATTATTTCTATTTGGCGAGTCACCTGCCTGCACCATTTACATTGTATAATGGTAGAAAGTATAAGGAAAGGTGACTATGGGGGAGTGCAAAAGCAAAGTAGAAATGAGACGGGAAGATTATGCAGTGTCTTCCTATCTTCTCAAGATAAAGTTAATATCTAATTTTCGGAAATACATATTGAAAAAAGCAGTAAAAAATAACGATGGGAAGCAAACTTATATAGCTGGCATAATAATTCACAATGTATTGAATAACTGTGATATTACTCTCTAGTTATAATGGTATTTATGGAGTCTTTGAGATTTATTCGTACAGCTGTTATTCTTATTGACTAAGGATATTGACTTTTCTCCATAACTAAATGAAAGTGATTTTCCTTAATACAATTATTGTATACCTATATAGGGGTTTCTTTTTCTAAGACTATCTGACTATACTACAGGCAAACTAAAGACATTTGTATTAAGCGCTATATAAGAATTAAATATTATCATTATTATTATTATTATTATTATTATTATTATTAAATGAATTGTAATAAGGCAGGAATAAGGAGGCAACCTGGAATTAAAAGAATGCTTCGATCATATTCAAATGAACATAATTACAAATGTCTTTTATAGTATGAGAATAGCTTCATTAACCTAACACCTGTTTTGAAGAAAAACTTGTCTCATGTTTTTAAAACTTCTGAAATCTGAATAAATCCAACTCTTTGGAAGACATAACATGACAGCATTATGTACGTAAAACTCAAGATCCTCCAAATCGAGAACAAAATGGCGCCTCTTTATTCTCGCGCCCCTCCTTTCAAATCATAGATACGACTGATGTGCTTGCTCGTAGCTCCTATTTATCTTCATGTGATGTCTCTTTATGCTTCAATAGCCGCCTCAGGGTCTTCGCATTTATGCAATTGTTGTCACAAAAAGACCTCATTAACATACGCCGTCACACATTGTATATGGATATGTCCAATTAGTTTCTCTAATTGCTGATCAGGCGTTGATGGGGTACCAGGATTCTCTGAACGGTTTGTTTGGTTGATGGGGGGGGGGGGGGGGACACGAACCTAGATGATCAGTAAATGCTTGGATACAAAAGTGCCCATATTGTTCGGCAAACCGATATTGCACATTTCTGTACCTTACTGAAATATATTTGGCACAATTTCTGAACAAAAAGTAAGGCACAAGTTGGATACCTTTAGCAGGATTACATTTTCCCATTATTTCTCCGAGTGTACATGTTTTTTGTATAGACACATATTACGCAGAAATTCTAAGGTTACATATGCATTTCTTTAGAACACATTGAGTTTTTTGTTGTTGAAAGATTACATATTAATTTTGCCTTCAATTTGACGCATAATTTCTGTGAGTGTACATGGTTCTTTTGCAGGAATTCTTTCCGTGCACATGTATAGGGGCACTTTTATGCATAATTTCTAAGAGTGTACATGTATCGTTTGCGGGCATTTCTATGCAAGATTTGTGAAACTTTTCATGTTTCTTTTTTAGTGGATATTTTCTCCTACAGGATGTTTAAGAGTATACATACGCGTACTTCCCTTTTAACGCAAAGACAGTGATCTTTCATTGACAAAGGTATTTTGATGTTTGGCGGGAAAGGGCAAACCACTCGAGGTGTCTTTGAGCTTCGTGCATAAAATCTTTAACCTTGCATCTTTTATCTGGCTGTATAACAAACTCGAAGTCATTCACACTACAGTCAAATAAAAATAAAATTCCGAGAAAGAGATTTTAGAAAGAGATCTTGTGTACGAATCATCAGCGAAAAGGGCCTACGCACTGGCTAAATAAAATAGCGTATCAAGGAACGTCAGTCATGAAGTATTAGTAGTAGTGGGAAAGTTAGCTTTAATACAATATTATGTCGAGAGTCAGGTAGCGTCGTGAGCATTGCTCGCCGGAGTACAACATGACAGTTCGGGCCTGTCATATATATATATATATATCGGTCCTTACTCTCGATATACGATTTTCTTTCTTTCCCACGGGCGATTGACCCTGATTCTTTACCGAGTTGAAGTACGTCCAAAATGATCTCAATCCTCGCTGCGACTTTTCGTTATAGGAGTTCACACTAGGGAAAATGAATACTTATCATATAGCTAGACGGCTTTCTCGTAGCTATATTACCAAAGTAGGCCTATAGACTAATGATGAATCTTGTTAGTAAGAGCGGGAGGTAATACCTCTGTTTCGCTAAACTACGTTTCCTTATACGACGTTCATACTAATGAAATGAGATTATCCATCGCATTTCTAAACAGTTTTCGAATAGCTTTACGACACATTCTGCTAATCTGAATGGAGGGAGAGGGGAATAGACGCATCTCACGATTAGCTAGCAGGCAAAGAGAGAAGAAGTGTTTTTTTCCAAGCCGATGCCTACGCGAGGAAGAGGGGCAGCGACAGTGTTTTCGCCAGGTTAAATGAATATTTCAGCTCCCTATTTGGAATCTAGACGGAATTAGCCTCGGTGGCCTCCGTGTGGGAATGTGTTGTTTTCATTAAAAGACAAACGAAGGGAATCTCCTAAAAGCAACCTTCGTGAAAATTGTGAATATACATGACAAAGAATTTTCGCATTTATGAATAATTCAAGCACGAATGGAAGGAAATGTAATATGTGTGTATTCTGCACGAGATGTTCCAATAACTCCCCTATCGAATAATGCATCCCTCTGTTCTAACCATGCCGCATCGTGTCTCAAATCATGGTGTCTGACATTTCGTAATGAAACTATTATGTTTATTATGGAATTACAAACATGTGTCTGGACAGGACCTGACTAATATCAACGTGTATTTTTCAAATCTCCCTTTTTCCCCGTTACTGAACTGTTGTCCCCTCGTTTTGTTGTCGATTTGTACAGGTACGCCAAGGCAGTCCTTCTGGGATGGTCCGATGAACATTGACTCTGTGATAGCACAGCCATCTTCACGTGATATTCTTAAAAGGTACTTTATACAATTTTAGATTGTTATATTAGCAATTAAAAGGGTCTAGGAGTGACACCGTCTTCAAAATGGTAGATTCAACGCATCTAGATGCTTGCGACATTTACAGTGTTGAATCCACCAATATATAAGATGCGACATACGATTGAGATACATGTTGAATATACTGCACCTCATCAGCCCTTTTAAATGGTGTTTCAATCAGTACATTTTAAGCGTGTTGTTGTATGATAACCAGTCACTGTAATTTCGCGATTGAAATATAGATCTCTCTTATTATATCTGTCAGTGAGATCGTAAACACCTTCTAGAACTTAACTCTATGGTAATTTCAATACCCTCTTGTACTGTGTAGCCCGTAGACATCATGTTCAGATATAAGATGTCAATGAAATAATAATAATAGTAATACTCAGTTTTCACCAAGCGCTTCCAAACTTAGAGAATATTACCCCGGCTTTAGCTGTGCTGCCATTTACGGCGCTCTAGCATTTCAAAGGATTAATTCCTGCCAGGTACCCATTTACATCACCTGGGTTGAGTGTGGCAAATGTAGATCAATGTCTTGCCAAAGGACATTAGTGCCGCGGCGGGTCTCGAACCGCGGACCTTGTGATCGACATTCCAGCGATTTAACCACTCGACCACAGCACCTTGTATTGCTCGCATATTTCAATAGGTAATAGACGAGGCTATTGTCTATTAATTAATTGCCTTAAGTTCATTTTTCGAAAGCCTTTGCGAATATGCTTGTGTCAAATGTAACCTTATGCAATCAATTACAATCCACAAAGTATAATACTGTTCTGATAGTTACAATATAGTATACAATGTAATAGCTAGAAATAGATCCGATCAACGCTTTGATCAAATGAATAAATTAACATTATGAATGACTGGGTTGATAGACAAAGAAATGTCAAACAGACACGGTAGGTAACGAGATGGGAGGATAGGTGGAAAAAACATGGAAAACCAAAAGTTTGAGGAAGCCATATTCGACAGGCATACAAAGCCCGTTTAAAACGATCGCAGAGACTTTCAAAAATAACCCAAGGTAATAGCTCTGTGCATAATACATTGTGAAACGTGCGTGTTAACACAGGCAATGTAATAGGTTATTGACATTTCCCTCACATTTATTTCTTGAAAAAATTAGCGATCGTGTTAATAAGCCTTGTTCATGTTATTTGGCATTACAAGCTATACTTGTTCATATCTTTGGTGCTTACATTGAAAAAGAACTTAAAATGAAAGACAATTTTACACATTACGTATGTTATGGTGACCTGTTTTTAGTGGCGTAGCACGGGTCCAGGTATTTTGGGGGCACCGGCCTTACTGGCTGGATTTAAATGCAAGGTCAATCGATATAGGGGCGGGCATGGAAGTGGTCCTATTATCCTCTTCTTTCATGTGCTTTCCCTGTATAATTTTCTGTCTCTTTATCTTTCCCTATCTTTATATCTCTTCCCCTTTTCCCTCGCTTTTCATCTTTACCATCGGAGGGGAGGGGGAGGGGGAGGAGAAGGTAGTATCGTGCCCTAGGTGCCCCCTGTAGCTACACCACTGACCCTTCTTTATATCACAACGGCATTTGCATTCACTTGCAGACACACCTGCACACGCTCTATGGGTCCACGGTTATCAAACAATATAATATATTCTCCACAAATTCATAAACAGCCTTTGGCATTTCGTGATTATAATAGTAGCATGTTTGTATTTTCTACAAGTAAACGGTCCTTTTGGGGATAATGGTAGAATGAGAGAGTTAAAGAGAGAGAGAGAGAGAGAGAGAGAGAGAGAGAGAGAAGAGAGAGGGGAGGGAGAGAGAAAAAAAAGAGAGAGAAGTAGAAAGAGAATGACAATATATATATATTTACAGAGAGAGAGAGGGAGGGGGTGAAGAGAGATGAGAAAAACAGAGAGACAGACCGAGAGCGAAAAGGAGCTACAGAGAAAGAGAGAGAATGAGAGACAGTGTTAGAGGGAGAGAGAGAGAGAGAGAGAGAGAGAGAGGTGCCAGAAAGAGACAACGTGACCTCGATGCTTCTCACGACATTACAACCTTTAATGACAACATATCACCGTCAATGGCGCAAAAATCCATATACAGGAAATGAGCCGTTTGACATGAGTTATACCCCACAATGAAGACAGTGCGTGCGTTACTAATGAGACGCTTTTCCTATTTTTTCCCAATTTCAAGGTGCCCCATTTATTACACAAACCTAAACATTTCATCAATAATTCAATGCCTTCACAAGCAGTCTCCTTCTGCGATAGAAGTTCACATCAATGTCTCTTTCTATGCAGATGCTGTTGTCTATTTATTGAACTTATAAAACCTCTATGGTCAGCATTGAGGAAGCGTGATGGCTCAGTGGTAGAGCAGTGGTCTCAACCAGAAGGTCATGGATTCAAAACCAAGTCGATGCGCTTGTGCCCTTTAAAGAGAAGGTTGAGTTCTGGGAAGAGGTGAAAAATAATTTGTGAGCGTTATCATTCTTATTAAGCAAGTGTGGAAGAACATCAGATAAGACATGTTCCCTGAAAAGAATGGTTCTTCAAGTTCTTCAAATGCCTTTATATTCTAAATATGTCATTTAACAACGTAAAACTCGGGAGTAGGATTTTTACGCCACGTGTTCGTGTAGTCCAATATACATCTTTCTGTGTACAGTGTTTGTTACTTTACCAAGACTTGGCCAAATTTCTTATCATTTTGACGATTCCAGAACCTTGCAATACACACAAATTCTTATATGCTAGATGATCAACCTTTTCTGGTCGATTCCACACCGCTTCTTTCACAATGCAATCGCATGACCAGAACTCAACTTCATCTTTTAATGCATTAATCCTCCTCACCAAGTCTGTCGGAGAGAATTTAAAGCCGTCGGTCCCCTGGTTTAATTGCTTACAAGCATACAATGATTTTCTAGCTGTCAGGTTATACAAAAACAAACAAAACAAACATTGGCAAAGCAAAAATCAGTTGTTCTAAACGTTGGAAATCTTTGTGTGATGGGATAAGAATAATAATTGTTTGGACAGGATGAAAACGATTCACATGAAATCATTGGTTTGTCGTCCAGTATCTTTACCTTTTCACATTCTAGGGTATGTGTTTTAAAATAATTTTGAGTTGTCAAATAAGCAGAAAGCTATGTTTAACCACTCCTTTGCTTTGTTTATGTATGTGTGATATGTGTACGTTCCTGTCTATCACATTGAATATTTCTTTCTTCCCCCCTTCTATTTCTCTCCTCCCGTACACTCTAAAAATAGGGTGCAACATTTTGCTGTGCAAAATCGCTGTTTAAAAGAGTTGGGTAAAGCATTTCCCAACCTTGTGCGAAACACCAAGTCCCTTCGAAATTTCATTACACTTGCCATAGTGTCATATCAAAATTAGACTGTGCGCATTTCCGGGGTAAGAAAGTAACGATGCAGATTAATATTTGAACCACGCGTTGGGTAAACACAAGTTTTGTTCGAAATAGACTACGATCATGCACTTGTGTCTTTCCGCAGCATTTATTTGCATGAATGCGTGTAAATCTTCTCAATATGGACATGAAATTCCTCATAATTCTGGACAACACATTATTCGTATGGAGAATGTCATCCGCGATGCAGTCACCTACTGCGAGCACGCCAAGCAAAAGACTGTCTAGCCAAGAGAGAGAGAGAGAGAGGTCTGCTACTTATACACTACACTACATATACATGTACTTTTCCAGCCAACTCCTCGGACAACTTTTCTTTTTCACCCAAAGCTGTGTAAAAATAAAAAATCATACAGTAAGGTTGGGTTAAGATTTTACCCAACATTTGGATAAAAAATCACACAAGAACAAAGTAAACGAGTACCCAGGATGAGTTGGGTAAAAATTACCCAATGTTGTGTCAAAAAGGGAACATGGTTGTCGTTGGGTAACATTTTACCTTTTACATTGGGTCAAATATATTGCACATCAGTTGGGTAAAACATTAAACATTTGCTGGGTAAATTTTAACCCAACCACCCCTGTGTCAAATTTTACCCAACAAACATGCATGTTCCCTTTTTACCCTCGTAAAGTGTAAAATTTTACCCAATATTGGGTATCTTTTTTTTTAGAGTGTACTACATGTATGTTAGGTACAAGCAATTTACACTACATACTTATTAGAAAGAAGTTTGATTTGATATACTCTTACTCTATTCGTATACAAACATGTAACAAAGGAGGACGAACATCGGAAAATGTCCTATTGACACAGTGCAAGTATAAACAGTAATAATAATACTAAATCAACATAGATGACATTGCAGTCAAAAATGACTTATCGCTTTCTTCGTCGTGAAGAGTTGGTTAAATTGCTGTCATGCTATTTTGAGCATGGTTCTAGATCGAAGTAGGAGAATATAAACCGAGAAAATGAAGCTCGAAAACCTGAATTATGCAAAGATGGTAAGAACGAGTTTGTGTGAACCCTCCCTGTACGAATGCACCGAGCGTCCTCTAGAGTAAAATGGCGCAAATAAGTCATGGTTTCGCGCTTGACATGACTGCTCCTTGAATGAATAGGGTAGCATCACCTTAACATCCTAAATAGAACATCATCCCTTGGAGATAGAGAGAAAGGGAGTGAATGTGAGGCAGAGAAAAGTGAAGAGGAGAGTGAGGGGAGAGAAGAGAGATGAAGAGAAAATTGTGGTTGTTTTTATGTGTGTGCATTTGAGAGATGGGAGAGAGAGAGAGAGAGAGACAGAGAGACAGAGAGGGTGAGAGGGAAGGGAGGAGAGAAAGGAGGAGAGAGAAAGAGAGATGGCTTAGTGGGACAATAATATAATACTAATGTGGATTTATTTAGCGCTTAATACTGTCTCTAAGCGCTTTACAGATAATATTACCCGGTCATCGGATTCATTCACGCACAATGTGCACCATCTCCAATCCCTGTGGAGTCTTCCTACCATATGGTTACCGTGCGGGCATAGGCAATTACTAACACAAATGCTTTCGCCATCCTACCGGGTCCCCATTTCTCTCTTGAGTATTGAGTGGCAAATGTTGATCAATGCCTTTCCAAAGGACATTAGTGCCGTGTCGGGGATCTAACCACGACCTCTGAAATTCAAGTCAAGTGCTTAAAGGTAATACAAAGTTTTGGTATGGGGTCATGAATTTGGTTGAAATGAACATATTGGAAGCATATGCGATCCTACAATATTCAGTGATCATTGTCGCGGTTGAAATCGAGTCTAAAGTTATGAAATTGTAAATAATACACTCTTTTTGTTGTATAGCTCCCTCTCAAGGTCAAGATATCAATTAAGCTACAAAACAATGTTTCTTGACTAAAACCGACCAATTTGCTATTCTAGTTTGGAAGTTATATATCACATCTACATATTCTGAGATTGTCGTGGTGGCAGCTACCTTTGTACGGCCGTAGGCGCTATTTGAAATTTATCAAAATTTACCGGGAGCACCGGTAAATTTTTATATTCAATTTTTCTCGAAAGCAGAAGTGTTTTAGAGGCTAAATTTTCTAGTGCTTAAAATACATCCACAGGGGCGTCCAAATATATCCAAATTGTAAAGAATCACTATCCACCCAATTTTCAAAATTACCCAAAACTTTGTATTACCTTTAAACCACTTGACTACGATAAGTTAGTGAACCGATAAGAAAGGTGGAGAGTGTTAAAGAGAGGGGGAACACACACGCACGCACGCTCCCACACCCCACCCCCACACACACGCGTGTAATGAGTGAATGATAATATGGAAATGTGGAATAAAGTTATAAAAAAAGAGAATAATAAAAGAGACAGTGGCAGAAGGGGAAAAAGAAGTGAGCGAGCGAGCGAGAGAGAGAGAGAGAGAGAGAGAGAGAGAGAGAGGGGGGGGGGGTGAAAGGAGGGAGAATTGAGAAGAGATATGGAAGAGGATGAGAGGGGAAAAACTATCGAATCTCGACTAGAAGAGAAAAGAGAATGGAATGGTGGTTGATAGATAATTGATACGACGGGTTAGGTTCACTTCGTGAACGTGAGCTTCATTGCGCGAAGCGGCGCAAGGCAAGGTAATGTTTATTGCATTCTATAACAATTTAGAGCCGCTCTGCAAGGAAAACATGTTAGAAGAACACTTTCATTGAATGATCACCGGAATGGTATTTGTTTTATAATGACCTACTAGTACCCTTTTTCTCTTTCTGCTTACAAGCCTTAACCATTCGTGTAACGTAATATTTTGCCGTCTGTAAAAGCATTTTGCCATTTTCACAAACACGAAATCCCTATTTACCCTTTCATGACGGAATGACCACGAGGTCATTTATTTTTTCATATGTTCGTTGTCTCTTTAAACATACTTTTATGGTAATGGCGGGAAAAGGTCAACACTATTCAACAGAACATGACTTTGTAAGAGTCGTACTGTACAACACTCGAGTCCCTCCTCTGAAGGGAAAAAGCCTGCACCATCTTAAGTATCTACATGCAAACATCTCCTACTACAACAACCATGCGTCTACATTTAACATCGAACTCCTTAAATGCGGGGACATACAACCCAACCCGGGCCCAGCTAACGAAGAAAAACGTGCTGGATCCAGCTCAGTTGGATATACATGTTCCTACTAAGGAGATTCGTTTGCATTGTAGAGATAAGCCTTGGATAAATGCTGAAGTTAAAGATGTTATCCGCCAAAGACAGCAAGCTTTTAATAACAAATCAAAAAGTTTGTGGCATCATCTTAGAAACAAAGTTAAACGGTTGATAAAACGACAGAAGATTTCATATTATAACACCAGAGTTCGCAACTTAAAAAGTGACAGCCCAGCAGCTTGGTATAAGCAGATTCGGATTTTAACAAATACTGAAAAGAAACATACTCCAATTGTAGTACCAAATATTGACCCGAATGACCCCGACAAATTCAAACATATTGCTAATTATATAAACGAGCATTTTTTAGCGGTGGCATCCGATCTTCCAGGTCTTAGTAGGAATAATTTACCTGCTTACTTACCAGCTCAGGAAACATGTCCGATTGTACGACCTTATGAAGTTTTTAAACAATTGAGTTCGTTAAACCAACAAAAGTCTGTTATAAGTGGAGACTTACCAGTGCGAATTCTTAGAGAGTTTGCACTGGAATTTTGTACACCTCTTACTGATATCTTAAACACTTCTTTCCAGTTGTCAGTGGTACCATATCAGTGGAAACGATGTGAGATCACACCAATTCCTAAATGTAAGCCTGTAATACCTCAGAATTTAAGACCTATAGCACTAACTAGTTATTTTGCGAAAATAGCTGAGTCTTATATATGTAAATGGTTACTCGAAGACATTTCAATTCAAATTGATATTAATCAATACGGAAACCGTCAAGGTCTGTCAACTAATCATTACTTAATTCGTTTGCTTCACCAGATTTATAAAAATGCAGAAAATTCTCGGTCCATATCTACACTTATCTTTACAGACTTTTCAAAAGCTTTTGATCGTATAGACCATAATATACTTGCCAATAAGTTAATCCACCTTCATGTTCGGCCTTGTATTATTTCATGGATCTTAGATTTTATTGAACACCGTCAACAACGTGTGAAATATCTTGGTCATTTTTCAGACTGGTCAACGTCTCATGCCGGTGTAGCACAGGGTACAAAATTAGGACCAATTATTTTCCTAATAATGATAAATGATGCTTGTTTTAACTCAGAAGTACCATACTTCAAGTATGTAGACGATCTGACATTAGTTGAAAGTCGTACATTATCACAACCATCTAAATTACCAAATACTTTATCTGATTTTTATCAATGGTCTCTTCGTAATAACATGACTCTTAATCCATCGAAATGTCATTGTATGTTTATCTCTTTTTCTAAGAATATAGCTGATCAGAGACCTTTGTTTATTGGGGATGAGTGCTTAAACAGTGTACAAAAAGCAAAAATTTTAGGAATAACTGTGCAGTCCGATTTGAAATGGGACAGTCATATCTCAGACCTTTTATGCCGTGCTAATAAAAAACTTTTCATGCTTCGTATTCTCAAAACATACAGATTGCCTTTCTGTGATCTAGTAACAATTTACAAGGGATATATTCGCCCAATATTGGATTATGGAGTACCTGTTTTTAACGGAAACCTCACCCAAAGTCATATCTTAAGTTTGGAACGAATCCAGAAAAGAGCATGTAGGACCATACTAGGTGATCAATATATTAATTATGACAAAGCTCTTGAAGTGTGTTCTTTGCAGACCCTGTCAGATAGACGCAAGCAATTATGCACTAATTTTGCTTCATCTCTTGTCAACAACCCACTTTGTAAACATTGGTTACCTGTTAACAATAATGTAGATTATTCACTGCGAAGAAGGACCAAGTATCGTCAATTTCATTGTAAAACGAACCGCTATAGAAATAGCTCAATTCCATACCTAATAGACCTGTTGAATGCATGAATGAATCTTAATTGTCTACCTGTTGAATGGTCCGGTGTCTCATTGTCTGCATACATTTTTACATTTTTACATTTTTACATTTTACATTCCGCATTTTAAATTTTAAATTCTATGCTTCCATAATTACTTGTAACATCTTTTTAAAATGTACATTGAATAGTGATAAGGTTTTGTAGCAATCATGACATGGCAATTCAGATCAAATGGTGTTCAAGTTTTTAATTCATTTGCTTATTTCTCCCCAATTTACGAAAGTCGGGAAGGAACTTACTTGTTTTGTTGTTTATTTTTTTTAAATACCCGACGCTCCTTGACACGAGAGGTCCAGGGATGAGCGAGCAGACCGTTAGCTAGTGTATATGGGAGTGTGAATGGGAGTGTGTATAAGAGTGTGAATGTGAGTTTTTATGAGAGTGTCCAGGGTGCGGGAGTGAGGATGGGAGCGTGTGTGGGAATGAGAGCGTGTATTGAAGGGCAAAGGGCCTGCTTGCTCATCCTTTGACCTACTCTTGTGTCACCTCACAAGATATATTTTAAACGTGAATTAATTTGCCTGTTATTGCCTTGGTCGTATTATTTATGAACTTTGTTATGAATTTTGTTATATACTGTATATTATACTTTGTGACAATGTCAACCACATTTGTATGTATTATAATTCATTGCCAATGTAAATTGTTCATAATTCAGCCATCTGGCTGCGAAGTGCAATCAATAAAACCTTTTCAATCTCAATCAAATCTCAATCTCAATCAATCTACTTATCTGGAGCAATATGGAATAAGAGGGATGCCTGCCTGTAATGTTGATAAGGAAAGGTTTTAAAATACTTGTAATTAAAGAGTGGACCGGGGATGCCCCTTTACCCCGCGGTGCCATCTATGTCCCTGCACGCACTTCTCGTACTCCGACCGAAGGCATGCAATTCAATTATAGCGACGTACATACTCGGGGACGAGACTTTTACTTGCTATTTTAGTATGCCGCATAAAGAATTTTAGATTGTTGAGATGAAGAAAGGTACTCAGCAGAGCCCGAAGGTGCATCATTGATGCGTTCTATTTGCGGTCTCGTCATTTCAAACCCAGTGGCATGTATTAAGAGAGATGGAAGAGGAGGGACCCCCGTGTGCGACATGCTGAGAAAGGAAGCCGTGTCATTCCCTTGATAAATCGAGATAGTTGAAAATGAGAGGAGGAAGATTAGAGGGTGTGATGAAGGGGGCAGGGAAAGCTAGGATTGGTGGGGATGATGTACCCACGGGGGAAGCTAGGATTGGTGGGGATGATGTACCCACGGGGGAAGCTAGGATTGGTGGGGATGATGTACCCACGGGGGAAGCTAGGATTGGTGGGGATGATGTACCCACGGGGGAAGCTAGGATGGGTAGGGGTGATGTACCCACGGGGGAAGCTAGGATGGGTAGGGGTGATGTACCCACGGGGGAAGCTAGGATGGGTGGAGATGATGTACCCACGGGGGAAGCTAGGATGGGTGGGGGTGATGTACCCACGGGGGAAGCTAGGATGGGTGGAGATGATGTACCCACGGGGGAAGCTAGGATGAGTGGGGGTGATGTACCCACGGGGGAAGCTAGGATGGGTGGAGATGATGTACCCACGGGGGAAGCTAGGATGGGTGGAGATGATGTACCCACGGGGGAAGCTAGGATGGGTGGGGGTGATGTACCCACGGGGGAAGCTAGGATGGGTGGAGATGATGTACCCACGGGGGAAGCTAGGATGGGTGGAGATGATGTACCCACGGGGGAAGCTAGGATGAGTGGGGATGATGTACCCACGGGGGAAGCTAGGATGGGTGGAGATGATGTACCCACGGGGGAAGCTAGGATGGGTGGGGGTGATGTACCCACGGGGGAAGCTAGGATGGGTGGAGATGATGTACCCACGGGGGAAGCTAGGATGGGTGGAGATGATGTACCCACGGGGGAAGCTAGGATGAGTGGGGATGATGTACCCACGGGGGAAGCTAGGATGGGTGGAGATGATGTACCCACGGGGGAAGCTAGGATGGGTGGGGGTGATGTAACCACTTTCTGATCTCCTCTGATGTCACGCCTCAGATGGAAGACGGAATGTATCGTATACATTCAGTGCATGTTTGTCACATCTTTCATGTCTTTGTAACATATGCGTGGGGTATGTCTTTAAAGCAAAACAGGCAGACAAGTATTACAGATGGGGAAGAATTTTAGTTAATCTTCTGGAAAGAAGATTAATGTTTAAAACGAGGTCTGGAAAAAAGATACGAGGTGAATCGTAAGTGTGTTTGTGTGTGTTGGGGGGGGGGGGGGGTGTGAGAAAAGCCTGTTCCTGCTGCCTCTTGATTACAGATGAAACTTGAATTTGAAGGAAAATACGTATTATGGATTCCCTGAGGATTTGGAAAGAAGATTACGGATGATACCCCAATATATGAATAACTAGTACCAATAAGGGATGGGATTTGCATATAAGGTGTAATGGTTTGAAACCTTTCCCTTCATGATTATATGCATGCAGTCACGCGAACTATTCTTTCAAAATGAATATGCTGAAAGACTGCATCGGTTGGTGAACCCGTTACTACGGTAACGAATGACAGGGATGCGATCCGCTGTCATCCACACACCTATCCTGCTAGCCGGTGGCCATGTGACTTGGACGTCACCTAACATTGGCAGTGATATGACATGACATGACCTTTGGCACCCCGCGGGCTTAATGCCTCATCAAACCAATTACTGACAGAAAGGAGACGTGACCACGATTCTTAGACATGTGCTGAGAGATGAGCGGGGGGGGGGGGGGGGGGGTAAGGGGTTTCATGCTGGTATGAACTTGTATACGTATTGAATTGAGCTATTTTTCATTCGTAATTTTAGAATCAGCGTCAACTGAACTTGGCATTTGTCATTCGAAATGGAGACGGTTAAATAGTTTCATAAGGTTAAAGACAAAAAATTGTTATAGACCATTTAATGTAGGCCTACATTTTGTGTTGTTGGTGTGAGTGTGGGATAGGTAACAGTAACTGTTTCGACCTCATTTTTCTATTTCAAGCGGTAGGTTAAACTTCAAGCTCAATTAAATAATCTTATTATTCACAATTAGAGATCGTCACAAGAGCATGCTTATTGCGATCGTAACTACTTCCGACAAATTTTAAAATGCGCGAACAATTCAATGGCGTATACGTATTCCGAATATGAACTCTAGGGGATGTACAATTCGGCATATGTCGATTTGGTTTTTCTTACGTATTTTTGTCGATTAAATATACGTATACCCGCAAGTATACCCGCAAAAAAATGACACCTCACTCGTGCACGTACAATGTAATGTTCATTTTGTGTTTAAAAAATAGAGGGAAAAGGGAAGTTAAAGAGCAATATCTCCTACAAGGATAAGTAGAAATTGAAGTCGTTGTCAATCTCAGAATCGCGTTAGCATGCACGCTATACGGGACGACTATGAGTTCGCCAATGTTGCAAAAGCCATGCATCCCGTTTTTTATTCTTCAAATGATATTAGATTTCAGTGGCGTGCCTCGGAAAGGTTATGTAGTGAAAAGGGTGACTACGTCTGGAGAAATTCTAGCCTTTTCCTTTTTAAAGGTGTTTTTTCTTTTTGTATTTGATTCTAGTTAAACATAGCCAGTCACTTCACCTTTCACTTGCAGAGTTGCTTTGAGCCTCGGATATTTCACAAATATCACTATCATGATGATTTATGTTTTTATTTTTCCCTTTTTGTAGGCATTTTTAGAGTCTTATAGGAAGGGGTCCTATTATCTTTTTCGTTTTAATTCATCACTCCCTTTTATTCTTCTATTCTGTTTCATGGATTATTCCGTCTGTCATTTGATAGGGTTGGGGTGGGGGACCGGTGGTGGGGGGGGGGGGGGCGTGCTCTCATAGCGCCTTCATTGTAGCTACATTAATTGAATGATGGATATAATTATCATTTCATAATCTATAACATAGTGGCAGGACCATTTCAAGCAAAATATATATTACTCGAATTGCTTTCTATACATATTTATACATTAATTGTAATGTTTTTATGTTGGATTCACCATAATCTTAGCATAATCTCTGTAAATCTTGAAAGTCATATTTTTATGCTTTTACATACCTCCTAAAGGCTTGAACATATTGAGTTTACGAACGATTCTAACGCACAAGTTCGTCTTCTCAAGCCCAAACCTATTTATGTTTAAACTACACACGTGGCAGTGGAATATGTTTACACAAAAGGTTTATACCCTTAAATAATATTTTAACCTGATTTTGTGGGCGATTTATGGTTTTGTTTCTCCAACCGATCGTTATGTACATACCGTTTGTTCTAGAGCATGCTTTTGCATATTACGTGTTGTTCCGCTATGCATTTCGCTTGAAAATGTTGAATCTTTTTTGGAAACTCATTTGATCTAATTGTGGTCAGAAAGCCGACTGTCATATATAATACTGTCACCGACATATTTCCTATCCTATCCTTCTCTGTCTTTCTTTCTCTGTCTGTCTGTCTCTGTCTCCCTGTCTCCTTTTGCCTTCTCCCCATCTCCCTATTTTTTACATTAAAGCAAGATAAATTGTCTGACATTTTATAGTAATTTACTGTTCATCTCATTTCTTAAGCCTGGTAAATAGTATAATCCTTAATATAAATGGACAAAAGTATTTTTTACAATGCATGAAAAACAACTTGAATACAGATAATACATTTTAGAAAGTTAAAGCTTATCTGCCGTAGTTTATAGGAGGGATTAGACTGCCCTGCAAGGTCACTGGACAGGTGGTTATCTCATCAACTCAGCTCTCAGTTAACATAAGAAAAAGAGGATCATGGGGGACCAATGGTCACCGATTAGTCATTGTTTGTTATATAGAGGGCGCAAGTAGCTAAAAGTAGTGCAGTGGGCCTTTAAAGCATATACACCCCTGTACTCATTGGCAATGATGGGCTTGAAGTGCTTTAACCATGATCTATATACTCTCAAACGGGTAACATTATGATGATGAGGAGGGGGAGGAGAATGATGACGATGATGATGATGATAACGAAGATGATGTTAAAGGAAAAGAAGAAGAACAAAACATCGGCAGAGAATAATGAAAGCGAAATAGAAATTAGTTTGTTTTTACAATCATCACGGAACGAGATGTACATGTATGGTAAGGGATGTAAGACAGGAGATTCATGAACATCTTAAATACTAAATCCCACACTATTCCCAATACTATCTGCCCTGTCAGTAACCTTACCCCCTGCAGAAGAAGTATGTTCGGGAAGCCATTGCGACGAGGACAATTCGATCAGTAGTTTTATTAAACACGATACCCCCCCCCCCCCGCTCTCTCTCTCTCTCTCTCTCTCTCTCTCTCTCTCTCTCTCTCTCTCTCTCTCTCTCTCTCTCTCTCTCTCTCTCTCTCTCTCTCTCTCTCCATTCTGTCTGTCTGTCTTTTATCCTCAACCCGCTAAAACTAATACGTAAAACATTAGAACAGTTCCGATTGTCCCCTTGGCCCACGGAACCCTATAGCGGGTGAGGGGGGAGGGGGGGGGGGGTTGCATGCCAGAGAGAGGGGGCCTCATCTATCTGGCATGCATCCCCCTCACCCGCTCCCGGGTTCCGTGCGCCGAGTGTTTCCCCATTCACCTTAAGGGTTAACCCATTTAATGCCAGCTGATTTTATAACTAGCTACACAAATCCATTTTATGTGATTGGTAAGAAATGAGTTGGCGTCCTTAATTCTTGCTCGATTTAATGGGTTGGTTCAATGGTTGGGAACAAGAGATGAGTTGGCCTCTCATACACAAATTAATTCAGATATACACGTATATGTAGTTACTTTTTTCGCTTTCAAGTACCTCTTTGAATACTACTGCATCTACTGGGCTTGCATCCATTAGATGTTACGACAACTCGAGAGCCGCTGGGCGAACCTTTCAAGTGTCGGGTTATGACTGTGAAATATAGAAGCCATTATAGGCATGGATGTAATACAAAAACCGAGTGGACCAGTTTGTTGACTCGCATATAAGATTTAATTTCTCACATCAGCCATGTATGCTCAGGGGCGTCACTAGCAATATATGTATATTTATATGGTTGGGGGTGTCGGACAGTTTATTTTTAAAAGTAGGCCTGAAGTATCCCAACAAGTATAAAGGAACAAGAACATTAAAATGCAAACATGTTATAATTTTGATTTTAAAAAATTCCGATAGTGTCCACATAAACGATTTTATCGATACAAAACTTGAAATTTTGGCCGTCACATCCGACCCCATTACCTCTAGAGATGCCTCTTTGTTATATAAATAGAATGCCGTACAACCGTTCTCCTAGAGCTGTGCACTACCCACTTAATACATGAATTATGTTCATAGCAAGAAGGACGTTAACTCTGTTTGAAGGTATAGGAATTAGCGCCCTTCTGGCTCCAAATAGACAGTTTAATATTTGATTGACTTCCAACATCCAGAAATAGTTCACTCACATCGCATTGCTAGATTGCGGACATGATCTTATTCGTAATTAGATGAGAGAATAAGAAACCGACTTCACACCCTCACCGTCTTATTTAATTTTGTTCCCTCTGATCTTTTGGTCACATATCGAATTATATGGAGCGTGGCTACACGTGTGAAGCGGTATACTGCACTTATCGCAGTTGACTTTGGCGTCATTTTGTCCGTCCCCCGGTGAAGCGCTTCTGATAAGGACTCATTCAGATCATGCTGACATCGTACTGGTGTCGTGCATGCATGTTGTCTGTTAAGGCCATTGAGGAGAAAAGGGCATTAGCTCGTAACTTTTCTCAAAGAGTCTAGGCCCTATTGGCTCTTAGCAATTATGGAATCATGAAGGAAAGAAGAACTGCACGAATTTCTCATCGACATTTATTTTTGCGAACGTTAATGTTGCGAGGAGGGAGATGGAAAATGATATGCTAGGAATACGTTACACTCGCATAATTATACGATAATGCCTGTGGAATTTTTTTTCTCTGGTTGAAAATGCATTAAACATTCAAAATGCTGATCACACTTTATTCGACAGTGCCGAGCAATATGATTATGTCATGTCGAGTCAATAAGAAAGTTGCCTAATTATCGTGGTTATCTTTATAACATAGTGTTTATCGTTTTGATAAGCCGACATAATACAGTCCGCCAGATATTTATGTGAAACGAATTAAGTATACGTGCATTTTCTTCAAAATATAATGAATATCCATAATTTAGTGTCATAAATTTTCTCTTATTGAAACTTCTGTCAAATGGAATTGCTGTAAATCAATGCATTTTAAAGGTGCAGTCAAACTAACATTACGTTTTTTTCTCTTTTTGTCCTTGTCATCCACAGATTAGACATTTATAAAGACGCTTCGCGGGACGACTACAGGCGATCGATGTCGGTAATACAGTTTGGAAAAAAACTCCTGATATAGGAGGTCACGATTGAAACCCATGGGCAAGGATCGTGCTCACAAAATTGAAGATCGGATTAAAACGTCCCAGTATGCTCTGAAGTGGATTAGTTTGATGACTGGATGTAAATCCTAGTGAGTTTACCCATCGACCGTTCTCATTTTGAGGGACCCTTAATGAATAAGTAAGAACGACGGTGGAATTTTGCTACTCATCATTTTTTAAAGGATGCGACGAATATAATAAAATATATTACATTTGGATACAGTAGTTTGCATTCTGACAATGATGTATCTGTTAGCTGGTGTCTCTTCCATTCTGCTACGTTATATTCTGGTAGATAGGGTAACAAAATGAACCTTGGGGAACCCCAAGAGATGCAAGACGACCACGCCATGAAACTAGGGGTCCCTACCAAATTTCATCGGAAAGTCGGGATGACCAATCGGTTCGCAATCGGTCTGGTACTGGTCACGCTTACGTTCTCTCTGTCCTTCATAGCCCTGAGTCATCCCGAAGCAATTCCCGCAAGACAACAGACCGTCCGGGAGGTGATTCCCAAGGAGTACCTCAGTACTTGTCACAGGCGTCATGAGGACGGTTCACTTGCATTGCTTCCAGAGAAGTACCTGACGATGAATGAATGCAAGAAGCGCCTACCTGATGTCGTCGTCCTGGGCACCAAGAAATGTGGCACTGGAGCGTTACGTGTCTTTCTAGATACGCATCCCAACGTTGTCTTCTCTAAAAGAGCCGAGGCGAAATTCTTTACGCAGAACTACAAGAAAGGCATTGACTGGTACGTACAGATCATGCGACCCACTGCGACTGGCCAAGTCGGAATGGAGAAATCTCCCGGGTATTTCTTCTCGAGTGATGCGGCCAAACGCATCAAATCAGATTTACCACCAACTACTAAGTTCATCGTCATTCTCTGCAACCCAGTCAGGCGGACAATATCTGAATTCACTTTCGAGCAGCTCAACAAGATTAAAGAGAAATATAAGGTAGACACTGAGGAAGCAAAGGTGATCGCCAAGAGGACTTTCAACTCCAGTAAATTCGAGAAATACATCACGACCTCGTCAGGTCGTATCAGGACAAACGTGGATATCATCACACATAGTATGTACGATAAATATATTTTATCGTGGCTTAAGCTCTTCCCACGCTCACGATTCCTTTTCGTCGACGGCGACAACTTCACCCATAATCCTGTCGCCGTTCTTAACGAAATCGAGCAATTCATTGAAGTTCCGCATTACTTTAATAGCAGCAGATTCTATTTCGACAAAGAAAAGGGCTTCTTCTGTCTTTCAGAACCTTTCAAGCAGTGTCTACGGTCCACCAAGGGGTTGGAGCACCCTCCTGTTGATCGGACAGTATTGAGGAAACTCAAGGAACTCTTCAAAGCGCATGATTTTGCCACGAGTATACTGACATTAAAAAACTTCACATGGATGAAGAATGATTACGGTTCTAAGATATGACCTTGAGGTCACGACTTCCTGTTCATCTCCTGTAAATTAATGAATCATGTTTCCTTTCTTCTAATGAGAACACAATACAACATGATCGCGAATACTTTCGTAAAGAACTAGCTCAAGGCAATTCCAATATCCTGGTCCATCTCCTATTAAAATGATGTATTGTCCAATCCAAGAATGATTTCTATAGGGTACACAACCAGGTATTCAATTCGTCCTTCAGTTGATTTCTCAAAAGTCTTCACGATCATGTTCTTAATTACCTACAGTATTTCAATTAAACTCTGATAAAAACTACACATTTGTATCAGTTGATAATACACTATCCAGCTCTTTATGGTCTTTGACTATTTAGTATGTCTTTCCAATCATGTTTCCGGTTACATCGTCTCGAAAGACGCACTCGACATTCGTAGAATACATTTTTCTAAACTCGTTGGTCTTTTTATTCATATGTTGACAAAAATCGAGTTATTTATCTTCCAAAAGCATGAAAAGAGGCTTCCCAAATGATAAATCTTTTTATCAAAAAGAGGCTTTGCAACCATGGCCATCGGGGTGGTTTTTGGGTGTGTTTTTTTGGTGCTAAGATAGTACTTACGTTGTAGCGCCTTGAGTGGTACAGTACCAGAAAGTGCGTAGTAGAAATGCTTACTATCTTTATCATTATTTTGCTTAATTTAGGTGTGATGTATATTTATTTTTTCCTTTGATGGCATTTAATTTAGAAATTAGTTGGAAAGACGAAACCAGCCACTTTAATTAATAGTAAATCTAAACTTGAACAGCTAAATTATTATTACAAGAACAAACAAGGCTTCATAGTTTTAAAATACCCCCTCTACTTATTTTTTTAGAAATAAAACAGGTGTTTGAACGGTATTTAGAGAACTTGTATACGATGACACAACTCATCAGCAACATGAATACCGATTCAGTGAGTAGAATAACGAATTTGCCGAACATGAAAATTGACAATATTGAATCTGCTTTTATACTAAAGAAAAAAAGTAACATATGGACTGGGAAATAAGAAATAATTCATTGGGATTGTTTTGTGGTACTTATAATTTATCATCACCCTTTTTATCACTCAACATTAACTTCATGATCAGCCAAACAGTCAAATTCTTTTACTCATTTATTCTCTTTTAGTGAATTAGATTTAAAGTGTTCTTTCTAAATGCATGATTATTCTTCAGCACATGTTATCAGTGAGATGGAGCTGTGCACACGACGATACGCAATATTCTAATGACATTATGCTCCGAAATCTATGGAAAAGAATTGATAAATTTTGGGCTGAACAATGTTTTGTGTACGTGTCTATTTTGTGGAAACATGAACAGAGATATACATGTATAATTTCCAATCATCATTGTTGAATGCAATAAGGCGTATATATTGTGCAGAAATTTATCGAATGAAGGTCTATAATTAATATGAAAGAAGTGATATAATAATTGAGTTTATAAATCATCGGTGAATGTTGATTTGATGGAGTTATTATGTACATGTAGATGGAGTTATTATGTAGATGCGTGAAAAAACGTGTCTGATCCAATAGCTAAAGAGAATTCAGAGCTTTATTGAACATAGGTGTATATAGGGGTATATGTCTATTCTGAACTAGGTGATATGCTATTTGAAATTGATATTGAAGAGTATTCTTCTTTCACTGTTTCTATTTTTCCTGCCGCATAGTCTCTCTCCAGAGGATGGAGGGAGGAAGGAAGGGAGGGAGGGATGGGGGAAGGGGTGTAGAGATGAGATTGGGCAAGTGTGGCAAAAGAACCATCATTTCATTGACACTAAAATAGTACATACGATAAATGCTTGAAATTTCTTTACTTTGTGTTGGGTTGTTGAAATTGTCTTTTTGCTCAACGATTTTGTTCCTAACCTTTAATATCTCTTTTTCTTTGAGGAGGGTAAGGGCTATAAAAATGGTATGAGTCCTATGAAAAACCATAATGGATATGCCCTCATAACTCATCTATCAAAATTGAGATTGAAATGCATAACAAGCCGTTCCATATTAGGGTACTGCAGCTGCAGCTTACATATAGCAAACGATTGAAATCTAATTTCGATTGCATTAGAGTGCCTCGGGCGACATTTAGAAGTAATATCATGAATATCTTGCATTATTGATAGAGCGGCGAAGGGGTTGGACATATATTTGTTCTTGATATACGCAGCAATAAAGAATGCCTGTAGCCTGTAGGTGTATACGTGTATTCTAAGGTTGTTGTGTCTTTGAGGCTCGAAAATGGTGACAAATGTGAATGAAGATTATTCTCATCTTTGGAGTTCAATAATAATAAATGGACTGATTCATGAAGGTAGATTGGCTGCTGTGCCTTTGTACAATTACTGATAACGAAGGATTGGTTGTTGAATAATAGCAAAGTCATATCGCCCAGTCGATTCGAAGCAGACTTCATACCGACCGCTTTTGTGCCATCTTGAATAGTTTGTTCGGTCTATCGTCGTTCTGTAGTCAGTTTTTTGTCTTTGATGTAACTATAGGGTATAACACAACTGAGAGAAACTGAGAATATTACAACTCGGATGGTATTTCTTTCATTTATCAACTTTAAATGGGATTGTGTTGGGGTTAGATATAAGTGTTGACCTGGACCAGGTTTCATTCAATGGTAAGCTCGCTTACAGCCAATGAAATGCAATTATTTCAGTATAGCTTTTAAAAGTTAAGTTATTGTATAACTTGATATTGATAACAAGTGTTATGAAACCTGACCTGGTAAATGTTAAGCGCTTAACGTAAGCCTCTCGAAAAGAAGAGTAGCTTTTTCTGTTTTCCTTGGCGTTTGTGTAATTCAAAATACCATACTTATTATTAGAGGCTCTACTTTCCATTTTGAATATAAATTTTATAATCATAATTATTAAGTCATCAATGGTGTACTGGGAATAATGGTTGCGTATTTATGTAAGAGGATTGGTGACAGGGTTGTATGTATGATGAGGAGACTGGGGACAATCAAAATATATTAATGGAATCAAGAAAACAAAATGGAAGACATTATCTGTATATCGTTATGCAACATGTCGAAATTGTATATCTATTTCAAGAGTGATGTATGTATATATTTGTTCCGTCTCTTTTTATCAACGTTCAAAAGAATTAAAGAAAATGAATAAAAGTATTGAAAATAAGGGGAGACTTCCAAGTGTTTTCTTTTCGTCTGTGTAATTCAAACACTCTATACGGTAGATTACTATTTACTATTTTGACGTGCCAGTTAAAGTACTTAATATTAAAGTACTTAAAATTGATAAACGGTTTAACAAACCGTTTATCAATTTTCCCTAGAAAATTAGAAAAATTAGAAATTCAATACCAACATTCCATAGACAAGAAAGAGTGAAAATTCATACGATAGAAATATTTAAGAATTTCATTTGTTCCGAAAAATACCTTTAGTCTTAGGCATAGATGCACTCATTATCTAGGAATACAGTACACAGATATTAGTGGATAGATATGTACAAAATCAGAACTTGTATCATTACAGACTTCTGGCAAAAAATATTCAGTTGTGATAAGAGAAGATGTGCTTAATATAAGTACTACTCAGTCACACCACCAATCTGACTATGCCGACTCTAAACCGATCGGTATATCGATCTGGTGTCGGTCTTCTTGTTATGACTGAAATAAAAGAGAGAAAGAAAGAGAGAGAGAGAGAGAGAGAGAGAGAGAAAGAGGGGGAGTGGGAGGGAGAGAGGGAGTGTAGAAAAAAAAAAAGGGGGGGGGGTAATACAAGAAACAAAGCAAACACAGAACAGATATGTTGTGAGGAAGCAAAGACAAGGAAAGCAAAGGCAAATATAAATTAGAAGGAAGAGATGGAGGAAGTGTGCGGGCGCTATATGGAGGGGACTATCATGAGCCATTATTGAAAAAATCCAATGAGGTCGGGGGAGGGGGGGGGGGTTATGATTATTACGAGTAAATTCAAAGGGGGAGGCAAGCGCGTAGCCAGGATTTATTTTAGTGAGCACGCGAAGCGTGCGAATCACTTAAAGAGCGCGCGAAGCGCGCTCCCTAAGGGAGAGTTAAGCGCGGAAGCTTGAAAGAAGACGATCGTTGTAGACTCATAATCCTTGTCGAATACAGTCGCGCGAAGCTTTGACGTTCATAAATTATTAGAGAAAGAAGACGATTCGTTGTACCTCTCTCGACTCTTAATGTATTCAGTCCACGCGAAGCTTTGACGTTTCATTAAATTATTAGAGAAAGAAGACGATTCGTTGTACCTCTCTCGATCTTAATGTCTGAATTCTGGCGCGAAGCTTTGACGTTTCATTAAATTATTAGAGAAAGAAGACGGTTCATTGTACCTTCTCGACTCTCAATCCTTGTCTGAATTCTGGCGCGAAGCTTTGACGTTTATTAAATTATTAGAGAAAGAAGACGATTCGTTGGACTCATATTTCTTAATTTGAACTCAGTTGCGCGAAGCGCGGAAGTTTTGACGATTTGTACCGTTCTCGAACGTCCTCACATGGCTACGCGCCTGGGGGGAGGGGTTGTTTGTTTTGTTATGTTTTGTTACATACACATGACATGGTGCCATAAAACTGCTGTGCATCATCATCATCATCACAAATTCTCCGATATCCTAGAAATATCTCAGTGGAATTAAAATTGCGCGATGAGCATTGGGTGACATTGATTATTGTGGGAAAACAGAACAATTATAATTATATTCAACAACTTTTCCTTGCATTCAACTTATGAATATTCATAAGTATCGGACCAATGGGAATGAAGCTGGATTTGCGCTTGTCATCGAAGGTGGCGACATTCAGGGAGAGCATGAGATGCAACTTAAGTTTAAACCAGGTCAAAATAAAAGTTCAAAGGGGACCGTCATCAGATAACGTGTTATGCTGAGATACAGGTGCCAATAGATGGCGTAATGCAACAGTACATGATATGAAAGCCATTTTCTATCCAAGTACGATAAGCACCTGTATGTTCTGAAAAGGAGATTTTAGTGTGATTAACAGAAAATGAATTAAATTCAGAATTCCATGCATAAGATCTTTCAAAGCTAGGGACTCTGGTTGTGATCAGAGCCCTATCAACAAAGGATTCCAGTAATTCTTTCACATTTTACAAAGCATTGACATAATGAAATAAGCAAATTTGTAGACTGTGTAGTACATGCGATATTGGATGAGCGGCCGCCTTTGAATGTTTGAAACAGACAAATGGCGCCATACAAGTGCTGTGGATCATCATCATCATGTATTATTACCATGATTAAAACACACACAATACCGTGAAAAAATGGTAGACTCGCATGAACAAAGGAGCTTGTGTTTTACACAGAGGGTTTGAACAAATCAATTTTACCAGTAGCAGATGTAACATAAACATTAGCATTAAAACATAAAACAGCACTGAAAAGCATAACAAAGATGATTCACATGCCCTAGGCGCTTCCAAAGTAGTATTATTACTCTGGCTTGAGCCCTTCTGCCCTGAGAAGCATTCAAAGAATTAATTCATACCAGGTACCCATTTCATTTACCTTGGTGGAGAGTGGTAAATGTAAGTTAATGTCTTTCCAAATGAAATAAGTTCCGCGGCGGGACTCGAACCGCGAACCATGATCACTTATTGGGTGACGTATCTACTAGATTACGAAAACTATACTGTCTTATCATAATGAGAAGCAATATTGTATCCATTGTATAACCCCACAACAACAAAAAATTGTTGGAAGACTTTAACTTCACACCCTTGCATTCGACACGAAACATCCATTCGCTTTGACTGCTGTCCCATTTCCCTACAACTGTCACATGAGGGCGTAAATCATTTTTGAGACACAATGCCCATTCAGGGCTTGTACATGTACATGTTGGTAGGTCGACGTGAACAGTTTGGCTCGAGCTAGCGTTCTCCTCACCGCGAAACGCCCGTAACTGTCGGGTCGCGACGCAGTGGTACAACTCCTCGAGAGGTATAGGAAACGAACGACACCAGCGAAGTTTTCGTTAGGGGAGGAGTGGTGATGGTAAAAAGAAAGTAGACACTGTTTCAAATTAATGTTTAATATAAAGTTATCTTACATAATTTCAAAATAAACAAAATTCAATCCTCATTAAGACGATTATGCAATCGGACTCATACCATCATCTGGCCATTAAAATGTTGATGAGCATTGGAGATATGCCACAGACTCGTCCATGATCTTGGGTGGAAAGGAGAGGCATGTTGACCGTGCTTGTCAAAACCATGTGGTTCTGAGACGACATTTGACATCGAGATCTCAATCCTGTTCATTGTTTCTCATTCCTTGTTTTCAATTAAGAACAAGAATGTCTGAAAGATGCACATTTGAATTGGCTACTTGCTATATTCTTTGCATTTTTCTTATCAGACCTTCTAACAGTTACATGCCCATCCAAGCGTGAACGTCCAAAACTTGATCTGTATTGATGTTGGTAGAGTATTGACTTTAATTTGATACAAATTTCATTGTCGTTTATCGACGGTTTAAATGAAACATTTGAACAATAAACAGTGCCCCTTTCTTGTTTATTGTTGCTGAATAAACATTATAGTAAGTTAAGCTAGTAAAAATTAATCATGTTAGTCTGAATTCATTTTCTCAAAACTCTCTCTCTCTCTCTCCCTTTTAGTTCTATACCTTGTCTTCCATCCGTGTCTTCTCGTCTATCCACACACTAAAATACCATTTCATTTGCCGTGTCTAGTTTCTCATCTACCACTTCCTAAAAATAAATGTTCTTGTTCCAAGTTTGTTTATCATTGGCAATTTTTGGAACAAAGATGAAACAGTAAGTAGGACGATGGAGGCATAATACAGACGAATGAGAAGATGACAAAACTAGAAAAGACTCAGAAGTCGAACAAGAAGATATTAAAGTGAGCAATATTCGACTACATAACACACAGGAATTACAAGAAAAATATACAACTTTTTGGCATGAGCTTTTTAAATGCTGTGCATTTTAATTTTTAAATCACATGAATAACCGTTCATCATCAACAACAATAAAACAAAGACATGGATATTCTATACTCAGAAAACCAGTACAAACTTCATAAATAACTTTCCATCCAACTATTACAATATAACGTCACTCTATATCGTGAATAAAACTCCGATAATAATCTATTTCTTAGTTTTGATGTTTTTTTTAAACCCACAACGTTACAATAACACTTTTAAAACTCTACACAATATGAGAACATCTCAAAACACTCGATCAAACAAATTCTGCGCAATATCAATTCATATCATCTAACTCTAAAGACTATATTAAACGTACAACTCATAGATATAAAAACGTGTATACTTTGACGTATATAAAGCGAAGCAGCATAAGAACGACCCATTCCTACCGCCCCAAGCACCATGCATAAGGTTTTGAAGAGCACATTTTCAAACAATATTAAGCACAATTGCGAAGGCTTTGGGAATGAAGAGAACGATTATAAAATAAAAGAGAAGAATACAGAAGAAAAACAAAGAAAAGAGAGAGATAAAGCTAGAGAGAGAGAGAGGGAGAGAGAGAGAGAGAGAGAGAGAAGGGGATATATACAGAGAGAGAGAGAGAGAGGGATATATATATATATATATATATATATATATATATATATATATATAAAGAGCAAGAGAGAGAGAGAGAGAGGGGGGGGGGGGATATCGAGTGAGAATTTTCATGAGGGTATAGAGGGGAAACTACAACAAATATGATCGTTACATTCAAAAGTTGCGTGTTTTTAATTGCTGCCACGTGGTTATTAAAACACGAATATTCACTTAACAGGGAGTTTGAATAAATAGGATTGCATCCAATTATTGGAAATAATACTTGAAAATTAACAAACAAATCAAATCAGATATTAATCATTATTTCAGAAGAAAAATATAGCATTATAACTCGAAATCATATACATGTACAAATATCATGATGGAAATCTCATTTGAATGACGATTGCTTGATTGATTAATATGAATAGAGAAGTTAATCAAGAAAAAAGAAAAATTACAAAAAACCCAAAACAAAACTAGGGTGGACAAATCAATAGCTCATTAACGTGAAGTTAGGTCTGTGGCCTAACACAAGTGATTGGTTGAACATTTCAATCAAATATACATCCACTGACATTGGCACATCAGGACCAAGAATTCAACAAATAAAAGCAGAATCCGATGATCTGATTGGCTGATTATTAACTTACAATTGAAAACAGGCTTGAGAAATCAACCATAAGTATTATGCAAGTAAACTTCTGGCAAGAGAAAAATATAAATACAGGAAAATTAATTTTTAGAATGAAAAAAATGATTAATTGTGTACAAAAACCTATGTTTGACAAACAATCATTTTGAAAGAAAAAGAAAAAGACAAATTAATAAGGAGTTTCTCGTACAAACTCAGTTTCGCGATGGTGTCCAGTGCCAATATGCCTCGCATGTCAAGTGAAATAGCATTGGTTTCCAAAATCTTTGTAAACGGTGATATATATTTAAAGTTTGGTAAACAATTAAACGTAATTTATATCAAAGAAAAGAAGAAAAAAAACTACAATGTAGTTACTTGGAACATACAACCTAAATGAACCGAATCATTAAAGGCAAAAACCCTACAATTGGCCTATAATCAGACATTATTCCAACAACATCACAAAAACAGCAACTAAAATATGTTAGCTACTTTCCTCGTGCGAGTGACCTATGTATACACAGTTAAAAATTTAGTGAACATGTTGTTTAAAAGTTTAAACAACTGTTGATTAACGGGTGACCTGATCTAAGAGTTGTTTAAAATGTTAAGCAACTCGAGTTGTTTAAAGTTTAAACACTTAGTTGATCAACATTTGAACAACTTGTTTAAAATCACAATTTAAACAACTGGTGTTGTTTAAAGACGGTTGTTTAAAACGGAGCTGTTGTTCAGTGGGGGTTGTTTACACCAACTGGGTGTTTAAAGAAAGTTGTTTAAAAAGGAGCTGTTGTTCAGTGGGGGTTGTTTACACCAACTGGGTTGTTTAAAGAAAGTTGTTTAAAAAGGAGCTGTTGTTAAATAATAATAATAATATTGGATTCTTATATAGCGCACGTATCGAACTTGCAAGGTCCTCAAGGCGCTCCAACATTACCCGGCTATGCTAGGCTGCCATAGGACATTAGTTCCGCGGCGGGACTCGAACCGTGGACCTTGTGATCGACAGTCCGGCGACGTTTCCACTCATCCACGACACGTCTACAGCTTGGTTGGCCATGATTTGAAACAAATCTTTTAGCCAACGCGCACTTTACTGGCACGTGACACATGACGTCATATGTAAACAACACTGTCTAAAAGCTCTCGTATAGTAAATAAAGCAGTCATTAAATTTTAAACAGCGAATGTTTAACAAAATTACTTTCGTTTCGAGCAACATTGTTTACAATTTGTTCAACTGTTGTTTAAGATAGTGTACAACTGTAAGTGAACATCACTTTTTTAAGCAGCGTTTTTACTGTGTACCAAGCATAACAGTGCGTAACCAAATACATGTATATCTCTAATGTATGCAGAAGAGAAGTGGCATAGTAATCATTTGACATTATTACTGTATAATAATGACTTTGATTCGTGTCGTTTGGTTGTTATTTATCAATCGCGTGGGATGGAAATGGAATGTTAATTAGCTTGATGGGTGTTTTTCTTTTCTTTTAATGACTTTTGTCGTGTTTTTAGAATACTTTAGTGGTATAAATACAGCGATAGCTACGAACAGAAACTTTATAAATAACATTAACAAGGAGAATAAAATGAAATAAAAATAATTATTTGCTGTTAAAGCAATCGCTATATATATATATATATACTGTCTTTTCTAGGGAAAAATTTCCCACTCATAAATTCTTGTAGATGGTTTTGCATCAGCATTTTTCTAAAATGGTTTGTATCTTAACATAAAAACATCACCCAGGCCCTGATACATATTCCATGAATATAATTTGGCGCATCAATGTATTTGCGTTCTATTAATATTCCTAGACGATCAAATAATGATGAACACATAATACTGATATTTGTCGTTCCTCAGCGGACTAGCGTGTGGAACTGATATTTAAGTGTATATACAAATATTCTAAATTACATCTAAATTTTCATAATACTAATCACAAACATAATAACAAAGTTTTTCTTCACCAAACACATACTATATATCTTCTCCTTTTCATCTGCATGTCTAATACCCTCTTTGTCTATATCAATATGCTACATTTCTCCTTTATATATTCATCCACCTTCGTTAAAGTTAACAACTCTTTCTCTCTTTCTGTCATTCTGTAACTGTGCTCCCAAATATGCCACCATTTTGGTTATAGCTACATCCTTATTATGATCATACTTTCAAGGTTTCTCGAAGCAAAACATTTAAAAAACATTTCTTTGTGTATTAATGCAGACAAAAAAAGTCATCGTTAATATTCATTGTAACAAAAGGAGTTTAAATGGCGGCAAGATTAGCGAAATCCGTTGGATGCCTGGATACAAAATAATCAAGGTTGTAAATAGCTTTAGCGCACAGCAGTATTCACTAGCACCATTTTATCTTAACATAATACGACATGTCATATCTACTGGGAATACTGTTTTTTTCTGGAACGGATATTGCAAAATGTTCTAACAAAAGGGCAATGGATATAGTCTGGGCGCAATATTAACAAAGACACACAACCCAATTGTTAACAATATTAGGGTTGAAAATCATACCAATTATATGTCATACATTGACATGAAATTAATTTGAATTATTATATTACCAGGAATGGCGCTGTATGTACTTTCTTATTTAGACAAATAAAGTTGATGTTGTAAGGACTTTCGACAAGGCCTACAGAAGGTGAATATGCTATCACCATTAAAATGCAAGTATACAAATTGTACTTATATCTATAACAGTTTAAGTTCTTGTTCCTGCGATTACAGATGAGCTACATTCGTGTTGTGGGAAATTTCAATCATTTCATTTAGTTCATATATGTGTCTCAAATTCAAGCAATGATTACCGAATTTTAATGCCATTGAAAAAATATCGCATTCATGATTACAATATATTTGCTCGAATGAGATGTTTCTTTTCACCGCTCCTGTATGTAAACAAAATGTGTTCTATAATACACATTTTGAAAGCTTTAATTTATACAATACCTAGTATCTTGTAGATTTGGTACAATAATATAATAATAAGATAAAATACAATCTATATTCTCTTCATCCATATGGATCTACAATGATCTGAACACGAATCATTCAAAATTATACAATTGAAAATTATGTAAATGACTATACCATATACAAACATGATTATTCATCACTTGTCATTAATACTGTGCTAATATGAATCGTCATTACGATTTCAGTTTATGTTCTTTATTTTCTTGTAAATCGAGTAATCACGATAAAAAGATAAACGATGTATGACAATCCTTTAAGTGCGCTACGTATAGCGATATCCCATCGTTTAGTCACTCAAGTCAAATGTCGTAAATAAATATTGTTTCCAAGTTGTACATTCTCTTGATAACAACATTGAAACGCATCTCATATCTTCCTCATAATATCAAATATGATAAAACGGCAGTGCTGTATATATTTCAAGTGCATACATATTAAATACGTACATCTTGTTTCAAGTTGCATTAACTGGATACTAAATATCGAGAGGGTAGATCATCCTCCGTTTAAAACATTACTAATAACAAAAAGAAGCATTTATAGTGTGTTAGGAAGTAAACAAAGTTGGCAAACTATAATGACTCTCTACATCGAAAGTTTGATATATGAAATCTCTTGTCTTCAACATTGCCATGGATATTATATTCTGATATGCTGTAAAATACATCCACTCTTTGGGAATAACATTTTATCAGTAAATGTTGACGCTGACATCGATATACAATTATGATCTCACAAATGAGAAAACAAAAACCGGCAGGAAATTGAGAGTTCATACTTGAGTAAAACAAAACCACCCCTCTTCCAAAATAGACAGAAGAAGAAGAAGAAGAAGAAGAAGAAGAAGAAGAAGAAGACGAATGAGAAGGAGAAGGAGGAGAAGGAGAAGAAGGAGGAGGATGAAGAAAAAAAAGACAGGATTTTTGAATGGCGTTCAACAGTTACACTAATAATAAATTAAACTAATATTTCAGATTAATGATAGTCAATGATAATGAAAAAACAAAAACTAACTAATCAAATGAAAGGAAAATTTCTCTTGACGGGAGTTTTGTCATCTATCATGATTGAGTAAAGAAACCTTCAGCCGTGTTGCTTTCACGTATGGTGATGGTAAAATCTCGCATCTTCACGTCAGTGACGAGAATATTCTCGACCTTCTCCGGCTGAGGACGCCATAGCTCTCGTTTGATCTTTGCAGCAGACGGAGACTTCAGGCTCAGATCCAGTGGCGAATCCACCGACGATGCCGTGAACGAAGGTGCTCTCTGCTCGGTTCGGACAGTAAGGATGGGCTTGGGGACAACAGGAACTCGAATTGGTTGATGATGAGGGGGCAACGACATCGACAAACAGTCCTTCTTCTCTACGCGTTCGACTACGTTCTTGCATAAGGTTTTAGCACACTTTGATTTCTCCTGCAACTTTACGGTTTCCTTCAAGACACTCACGCGTTTATCAAGGGTCTTGGTGATGTTGTTATTCAGTTCGACGGGGCTGAGATTTCGTTTAAGAGATTGTGCAGGGGGTTTCGGCTTTTCCAGCCCCGTACCTGGCTTTGTGTTAAATGTCATATTATACGAATCCATAGCAGTTAAGTGTCCATTTTTCTGCTTCAAACACGGTTTAGGATGAGCTTTTGTTCCATTAGGCTCACGATTCCTAACGAATTCAGGACGACTCGATACGGATTCTACACGATTCACAACAGGTACGACAGGACTCGGTTTTCTATTCACGCTTCCATTTATTTGCTTGTCCCAAGAATTGACTGGAGTTGTCAAGGCTGACTTGGAATGGTGTGCAATTGACTTTGGAACGACTTTTTCTCGCAAGGGTGCGTTCAAGATTTTACTCAAGTTTTCGTTCTTCGCTTTCGGCTCCTGATTCGTTACTTTTCCACGCGCTTCAAGTCCGCTCAAACCATCGTTGGTCTTTGGAAACTTTGGACATGTAATTGGCATTGGGGCATTGATTTTCTTAGGGATAAGTTCGGAGCGATTTAAACTCCAGTTACTGTTCTTGATGCAATCCTTGATACCAGTGGGTTTGGCATCTTGCCTCTTGTCGAGAGCTTTGGGAAGATGAGAGGCCTTCTTATTGGCATTCATTGAACTGTTTTGTTTTATGGATACAATGTTGTCATCTTTCTTGATGGAGGATTGAAGGCTCTTTTCGGGTTTGCTCAACGGTTTCTCATCTATAACCAACGGACAATCATCCTCATCCTCATAGTCATATGGACTACTCTCTACAAGGTTTTTGGAAGTCGGTGCACTTTTCAGAGGGGCCTTTTTACAGTTCACCGTCTTGTCCGTCATGGACTCGGTAGGACTGCTGGGGATGCTGCCGCTCGGCTTGGCGTTGGTCTTGGAGATACAGTTGGTCTTGGAGATGCTGCTGTCATTGGATATGGTGCTGCCACAGTCAATTGTGCTCGACTTAAAACTGCTATTTCCAACAACTCTCGACTTGACACTGCTGTTAGGGATGTGGTCCGACTTGACACTACTCACAGCGGCAGTAGTACTAGACTTGGCGCCGCTCGTGGCGGCAGAGCTGCTCGGCTTTACACCGGTGTTCCCTGTCGAGTTGCTCGGCTTCACACCTGTGTTCCCTGCCGAGTTGCTCGGCTTCACACCGGTGTTTCCTGCCGAACTGCTCGGCTTCACACCGGTGTTCGCTGCCGAGCTGGTCGCCTTTACACCGCTGTTCCCTACCGAGCTGCTCGGCTTCACACCGGTGTTCCCTGCCGAGCTGGTCGCCTTTACACCGCTGTTCCCTACCGAGCTGCTCGGCTTCACACCGGTGTTCCCTGCCGAGCTGCTCGTCTTCACACCTGTGTTCCCTACCGAGCTGCTCGGCTTCACACCGGTGTTCCCTGCCGAACTGCTGGGCTTCATACCTGTGTTCCCTGTCAAGCTGCTCGGCTTCATACCGGTGTTCCCTACCGAGCTAGTCATCTTCACACCGCTGTTTCCTACCGAGCTGCTCGGCTTCACACCGGTGTTCCCTGCCGAACTGCTCGGCTTTATACTTGTGTTCCCTGTCAAGCCGTTCGGTTTCACACCGATGTTCCCCGACGAGCTGCTCGTCTTCACACCGGTGTTCCCCGCCGAGTTGCTCGTCTTTACATTGGTGTTCCCGGTCGAGCTGCTCGTCTTTACACTGGTGTTAACAGTGGTACCTGGCTTTACAGCGCTCGTCACGGCACTACTTGATTTGCCAGTGCCGCTGATGGTTGACTTGGGACCGATGCTGGGAGGCGTGCTCGATTTGGCACCATTGGTAACAAGGCTGCTGGCCTTAGTGCTGGCAACATTGCCCGACTTGCAACCAGTGGCAACCACATTGCTTGTTTTGACACTGCCATTACTCTCTGTGATAGTCGGCATGGGCGGGTCAGGAGTTGGACTAACCAGGCTGCATTCCATTGTGGCGGTTGGGCTAAACAAGCTTCCATCTTTCTTGTGACCCATGGGGCTCTTGTCCTTCCTCGGGCTCTTCTCATCGACTTCTGATGAACGCGAGTTGCTCCGGATGACGATCTTAATAGGACCGAGCTTACCGAACTCGGTTTCTTTCACCTCGGCCGCGTGCTTGGGTGGGGGCACGAGCTCGGCGGTCACCTCCGACTTGACGGGTCTCGACACCAGCGATGACGAGAGATGATGTGAGGTGTGTTTGGGCGACGACGGTGGCATTGGGGAAGGTGATGCCGATGACGATGATGATGATGATGATGATGAAGATGAAGACGATGATGATGACGATGATGATGTTGTTGATGAATGGCGCGAAAGAGAATGTGGTGGCGGCGGGAGCGGAGTTGTTGGTGTTGATATCTTTTGTTTCTTTACTTTCACTTTTGTTTTCGTTTTCACTTTCACTATCTTCTTCTCTGATTTCAGTTTCTTTTGCGGTACAATCACAGGCTGCTGTTTCACCTTCATTTTCTTTTTCTTCTTCTTCAGTTTCGGTAAACTCTCTTTCCGAACAACAGCATTTGTCTTGATAACCTTGATATTTCTTTTTTCTTTCCCTTTCCCTTTCAGTTTCTTTTCTTTGGGTTTCAATCTTCTGATAGTAACCGTACCGTCCTCATGCTCATAATGCTTAGTTCGGAGAACAGTCCCATCTTTCTTCGTCTTTCGCATGATCCGAATTCTTGAAACCGGTGATGGATTCTTTAGCTTTGGCTTTGGCATCTTTTTCTTCTTCTTCAGCTTCTTCTTCCCTTCCTTCTTTTTCCTCTTAAGCGGTACTGGAATTCTAGCTGTCGTTGCAATTGAGGTCGACTTGGACCTACCATCTGACATGGATGACTTGGATTTCTTGATCAAAGATGAGTCCTTTCGTTTAATCTTAGGAATAGACTTAGCTTTAAAACCACAGCATAATCTCTTAATCGGGGTTTCCTTTCGAAGCAGGGGAGGTCCGACATCGTCGCTGTCGTCGTCTGATGATGACGAAAGGAACGACGAGGAGAGATCTTGAGCCAGTTTACGTTTGACCTGTCCAACAATGCTGGCGGTCCTCGCTGGCATGGTGCCTGGTGGCTTGGTGGACGTAGATGGCAGCATGCATGGAGAGACGGCGGGAGTGTTTGAGTTGACGCTGCTGCTGCTGCTGCTGTCGCTCTCACTGTCGCTCTCGCCGGGCTCCTCCTTGATATCCACGGGCTCTGGGCGGGGCACGACATCTGGGATCGGTGGGTCGACCTGCAGAGTGCGAGAAAAATAGAAAAGGAGACATCATTATTATTGAATAAGTTTATAACTTGAAGAGCTTTTAAAAACGATATTCTGGGACTTCCCAGTCGACATGCTTCTTATAGTTAAAAAAAGGAAGAGAATATTCACATCATAATTATCATCCTGATAATGTATCGATCAACATATGGGGGTATATAACAATGTCCAAAATTGTATATTTACGTTTTGAGGTTTCCTATTGTAGGTACCCCTTTTTTTCTCTCCAGAAACTGCGCATTTTGTTGCCCCCTATTCCGCCGCCGCTGACATAAAGAAAGATATTGATTTTTTTCTTCTTCCAAGATTGGGAAAGACGCAATTGAAACACATCTTTCGGAATCAAAATCCATAAGGTAAAAAATAATGTTCTTCTTTGCATACATGCAAGTTTCGAGGTAATTTAGGGATAAAACCCATCTTCAACATTATGAGGAAGGAAATGACAAATCGTTTTAAGTAGGAAAAACTAAGAAAATCAAAATTGAAGAAAGTTGAGCAAACTAAACCCTCATCCCTAATAGACTGGCATTTTAGCCCCATCCTCACCCATTTCCTCTGTCTTCCATTCCTCCCCCTCTACGGCTCCTCCCTCTTTTCCGTCCTCTCTTCGTCCTTATCTTCATATCTCTCCCCATTTCCCCCTCTCCATCTTTACCCATACCCCTCCCTCTTTCTTCCTCACTTTCCCTCATCTTTATGAAAACGCCATCTTTTATTTTTCGTTTTCTCACCCCACTCTCTTTCTCTCTCTCTCTCTCTCGCTCTCTCTCTCTATCTCTCTCTTTGCATCAGTGTGAGAACAACTTCAATTCTTTTAACCGAAGAAGAAAAAAAAATCGTCATAATTGCACTTTCATCACGGTCAAGCTTAATGTTATGTTGAATATGATATATCATCGTGATTTGGGGAGACGGAAGAGGACTAATAACATAGAATTTCTGGATGACCGATGAGATTGTGGAGGAAATTTAAAGCCGAGAAGTGTTAATAGTAAATTGTCATGATTGTATGCCATTTCCATCGGCTTGGGTGTACGCTTACCTATTCAGTGAAATAGAGAAGTAAAAGGAATAAGATGGCAGAGAGAGTTTAAAATAGAAGGAGAGGGAGAAGAAGATGCATTGAGGGGAGAAGTCGAGGAGGAGGGTGAGAAAGCCGAGAAGGAAAAAAAGAAGAAAGAAGAAGAGGACAACAAGAAGAGGAGGAGGAGGAGGGGGAGGAATACTAAATAGTAAAATAATGAAGAAAAACATAAGGGGAGGGAAAGGAAGAATAGGAAGGAGGAGAAGAGACGGAGACGACACGAAGGAGACGGCAGTGATGAAGAAGGAGGGGTGAAGATGAAGAAGGAGGGGTGCAGATGAAGAAGGAGGGGTGAAGATGAAGAAGGAGGGGTGAAGATGAAGAAGGAGGGGTGAAGATGAAGAAGGAGGGGTGAAGATGAAGAAGGAGGGGTGAAGATGAAGAAGGAGGGGTGAAGATGAAGAAGGAGTGGTGAAGATGAAGAAGGAGGGGTGAAGATGAAGAAGGAGGGGTGAAGATGAAGAAGGAGGGGTGAATATGAAGAAGGAGGGGTGAAGATGAAGGAGGAGGGGTGAAGATGAAGAAGGAGGGGTGAAGATGAAGAAGGAGTGGTGAAGATGAAGAAGGAGGGGTGAAGATGAAGAAGGAGGGGTGAAGATGAAGAAGGAAGGGTGAAGATGAAGAAGGAGGGGTGAAGATGAAGGAGGAGGGGTGAAGATGAAGAAGGAGGGGTGAAGATGAAGAAGGAGGGGTGAAGATGAAGAAGGAGGGGTGAAGATGAAGAAGGAGGGGTGAAGATGAAGAAGGAGGGGTGAAGATGAAGGAGGAGGGGTGAAGATGAAGAAGGAGGGGTGAAGATGAAGAAGGAGGGGTGAAGATGAAGAAGGAGGGGTGAAGATGAAGAAGGAGGGTGAAGATGAAGAAGGAGGGGTGAAGATGAAGAAGGAGGGGTGAAGATGAAGAAGGAGTGGTGAAGATGAACGAGAGGAAAAGGAAGATGAACCTGAAAGATAATGACGTGGATGACAGACAATAGTGAATCTCAGTCCTAGAAATACGGGTAGAGAAACAGATAAACGGGAATATAGCATGAGTGAAAAAGTGTTAGCGCTTTGTAGCGATTCCCAAATATGGATATGAAACTAAATGCTAATGGAATTATTTTGTCATTGCGTTGGAATTTGGCATCAAATTGCTCTTAAACTTTCACAAATCAATACGTATAACTGTTGTATTTTAACAAATAGAAAAGGAAGGAGAGAGAATAAAAATCCAAAAGCCTGTTTTCGAAGGATAAACAGGATTGCAACCAAAAATCACTTAATCGACCGTCATCGGTAAGTAGTCGGCATTCCGAGCCGAATGGTAATTACACGGTAACAAGCTGGCTTGGCCCGCCGGGAGTTCGGGGCAGAACGCTAATCATATCACCGCTGGCGCGCTCGCTGTGCTTGAGTTTCGAATTACCGGAGCGTGGAATTGTATCTAACGGGTTTCGCATACTGACTGCCAGTGCTTGCCGGGGAGAATGGGTTTGCATCGCAATAACACGTCGTAGCTAAATACTCACTAGTCGTAATACTAACACACGATAGGCTATTCGCGTGAAACAGGACTTAGGTAAACAATGAAAGCTAGAGAAAGAGATACGAAGTATCATCCTTTCGTTATCTCTTTCTCACTCTCCATGCTTCTCTCTGTTTCTTATGCTCTCTCTATGTTTTCTTCTTCTCTCTCTCTCTCTCTCTCTCTCTGTCCCCTCTCCTTCTTTAAATCTCTGTTTCGTCTGCATTCTTCATGATATAATCATGGAGATATCTCTCTCATATCTCCATGATATAATTTTCTCAAATCGTTTGAAACTGGAGGCTTACCTTAATTATACATTAGAACCTATTACAAATAACATAGATAACAATGTAATTTGAAATTTGGGCACAAGAACGTTTTTCCACTTGTTTCTAGTTCTTAAATAATTGCTATGGATATAGGTATACTGTGTTTATTTTTCATTATGACGATATATGCCCAAATCTTAAACATCTGCTGTCCAGACTCCACGTACTGTATTAAATTGTACGCCTTTACACCTGTAATTCCCTGTTTAATTCCTTTATTTTCTTGTGTATTTCTCTCTCTCTCTCTCTCTCTCTGTGAGTCACGTTGGTATCCTACGCGGAACACCAATACCAATGGACCGGTCGACAGATTATCACCTCCCTTGATAAAAATGATAGTCAGTTTACTAAAAGAATTATATTTTTGTTTCTTCAGTTTTTACAGGTACAAAACAATTTTCATCACAGAAAGCAACACTATCCAATGGCAAACACGGACGAAAATATCTATATGAATATTTCCCGATGCAAATTCTATATCAACATTATACAACATGTATACGGCGCTCGCTTTTCTATGGCAGGATCGCTGCAATATCTATCATGCTAGTATATATATTATACATGTACAGAACTCGCACGAAAATGCCATGTCCTGTACAGCATGCACTACACACCGCAACATGTATTACCGCACGTATGTATTGTCTACGATACCCTAGCCCTTGAACGAGAACACTTTCTGATGGGGTCGCGTCCGCAACGCTCACGATTTCCGCATTTTCCCCTGAGTTTGTGTTTCATTTCAAATGTTTGCCGATATTACGCATAGCCGTTTCCATGACAACTGTCACATTTGTTAGATTGTATATCATTGATCATGACACCATATTTATATGTTTTTCACTCTTTCATTGTCTCTCTGTTCCTCCTCTTTTTTCTTTACATACCCCTCTCTTTTCTCAGCCCCCTCTCCATTTCCCTCCTTTTCTCCCCCTCTTGCTATTTTTTCACGAGGGAAAGTGGGTATGTTTACACTAGAGTATCATGTGAGTGACAAATACGATATAATCTGGGGTATCTCCTCCTTATCTGTTTTTCTTCAAATGAATGCAAGGGAAGAAACCTACACGGGCCGGCTTAATTATGGCAAATATTTTACTACGATATTTATCGTTCAGAATTTGATAAACGGCCGGGCATTATTTAATTCAAGATGAAATCTAAAACTAGAGTCATACATGTATTTACTGGACCTACCTACAAATTAGAGTTAGCCGGCAACATCCCATCGATAAAACTAATTCTTGATGATACACATGTCTCGCAAGGCTGATGTCATACGGATGTACACAATTTAAAACAATAGAGCAAGCATGTAACCAAGCTAGCAAAACAAAAAAGGACCACATTCGAAATTTGAAGGTATACTTATTTTGATCTATCTTTGATAACATACTATTCTCGAGGAAACCAAAACAATCAGAGAACAAGACTAGTGAAAGTTCAAATAAAATCGGACAAAAAGAGAAAGTTATATTCGGCTCTTCAAATTAGCTGAATCGGTAATGTATCTGTGATGTAGTGGCGGACAACTTTCCCAATTGTTTTTAAATACGCATTATTGAAGAAAAAAAATAGAATTCGATTTGTTAAAATAATTTTTCTTTTCTCTACGGAGAACCTATAACAATGTCCTATCTATAATATATTTTGAGCGTGCCCAAGGGAGAAGGTACTTAGGGGGAAAAATCATAAAGTAATGATATGTTTGTACACGACAGTTTGAGATAAGCATAGAAAGTGATCTCATATTTTTAAAAGTTGTAATGACTACAGGTATGGGCTCTTCATGTAGTGGCGGACATCTTTCCCATGTCAGAAATGCCCCAAGGGAAAAGATACAGATTAATGATATTTTGTACACGACAAGCGGAAAATAATCAGCGACTACGTCACAATCCACTGACCAAACTGGCAATTTGGGAATTGCATAGAATTAGTGATTTCATATTTCAAACATTCATAACTTTCTTATTATTGATCCGATTTAATTCAATCTTTGGCCATTCTGTTAATTATCTTATGTTTCTGACTCCAAACAAATTAACTTATTAAAAGGGTTGGATACTT